GCCTACACCACAGGAGATGGATAAACAAATTTTTTAAGGAGTTGAAAAATCATGGAAATCTAAAATCAAGGTTGACATGATTTTCTTGCACTTTTAATTGTTTAAGATAATTGTAATTTTTTGACGGGTGTATCATGCTGTGGCGTGGCACTTTATTAAATATATATTGTATTTTTCTGGGAAGACGTTGATAAAGTCTAAATTCCATAAAGTATTTCAGTCTTATTTAATAGAGATTACAGGGAATATGGCACCAAAAGGGAGTTGGGGAGCGTTTGGGGAACATCTGTAACGGTCCCCGTTACAATTAGCACTAGTTATTATTATTATTATTCCTGGGAAAATTTTGTCCACGAGTGATCTTGTAAACTACACATCCGACTAAGGTAAAATGTTTTTAGGGTCAGTAGACATGTTATGTAGATTTGCCGAACGAAGGTCATTTTGCGCGCACGTGCTTGCAAGAGCGCGCACGTGCAACACATGGAATGACCAATATAATGGATATTGCTGTAACTTTTCTTTTTCTTGATGAATTTTTTTGAAACTCATAATGTAAGGATACATTAGTAGTATAGACAAGATGGCATGGTCAAAATAGCAAGATCTCACGCGCATGCACGTGCGCTTCGCTCTGATTGGCTGAAACTAAAGTCTCAATATCTTTCTTGTTTCTTGTCATAATCATTTGAAATTTTGGACATAGTCCTACATTATGAAGATCTACAGCATGATATATAAAAAATTTCATGAAAGCATGCGCATGCGCTCGTGCTGCAATCTGATTGGCTGAAACTTTAAATGGCTATATCTCCTTTGTTTTTTGACGAAATGCTTTGAAATTTAAAACATAGTCATGCATTAAGATATCCTAAAATATGATATAGAAAAAATTCATGAAATCACGCGCATGCACGTGTGCTGCAATCTGATTGGCTGAAACTTTATATGGCTATATCTCCTTTGTTTTTTGACGAAATGTTTGGAATTTTAAAATATAGTCATTCATTTAGATATTCTTCAATACGATAAAGATAAAAATTTATGAAATCACGCGCATGCATGTGTGCTGTAATCTGATTGGCTGAAACTTCAAATGGCTGTAACTCCCTTGTTTTTCAACCAAACAGGATGGGATTTAGAACATAGATAAATATAAGGGACTTCTACAAAAAGGTGTAGTCATTATGCACGTGCTTCCACGTGCGTGCACGTTAAATGAGTAAAATTAAAAATACACTCAAATGAGTGAATTTTTTAATACTTTTCGATTAAATGCTTTAATATTAAGTATATTAAAATTTGAGATATTGTAGACAAGACAATATGGTCGTTACGCACATGAACACGCGTGCAATACTTATTTTTAAATATAATTTCTATTTTTCTGGGAAGATCTTGATTAAGTCTAAATTCCATTAAGTATTTCTTACCTAATAGAGATTACAGGGAATATGTCACGAAAAGGGATTTGGGGAGCGTTTGGGGAACATCTGTAACGGTCCCCGTTACAATTAGCACTAGTTATTATTATTTTTCTTCTTGGGAAAATTTTGTCCGCGAATGATTTTGTAAAGTACACATCCGATTAAGGGGAAACCTTTTTAGGATAAGTAGGCATGTTATGTAGATTTGCGGAACGAAGGTCATTTTGCGCGCACGTGCTTGCAAGAGCGCGCACGTGCAACATGTGAAATGACCAAAATACTTGAAATTGCCGTAACTTTTACATTTTTTAATGTAATGCTTTGATATTTAGAATATATAGACATATTATAAATGTAGATAAAATGACATTGTCAACATGCCATTTTGCGCGCACGTGCTTGCAAGAGCGCGCACGTGCAACACGTGAAATGACCAATATAATGGATATAGCCGTAACTTTTCTATTTTTTGATGAAATCTTTTGAAATTTATAATGTAAGGATATATTAGTAGCGTAAACAAGATGACATGATCAAAAAAGCATGATCTCACGCGCATGCACGTGCGCTTCGCTCTGATTGGCTGAAACTAAAGTCTCAATATCTTTCTTGTTTTTTGACCAAATCCTTTGAAATTTTAAACATAGACATGTATTAGGATATCCTACAATAAGATTTATAGCAATTATCATGAAAACACGTGCATGCACATGCGCTGCAATCACAGGCACCTGAAGTATGGATAATACCCCCCCCCCCTTTTTTATGAAAAAAAATGTAAGAGTGTATAATATCTCAAAAATATAAAATTTCCCCGTCAAACACATCTATATGTCGTTATATGCAAGCAGATTGTACTTTTTCTCACGTTTAAAGAATGGCCTTATTCGGTATAATAAACATACACAAGGTAAGAAACAAAAGTTGTAAGCAAAAGGGGAACCCCTACTTCGAGACAGATTACCAAGGTAATAATTAATGTTACCTATCATAATTTTGCAATCACTCTGTCTGGGAGATGTTCTTTGATTAGTCTCTTTAACCTAAACCCCGCTATTAGCGTTTGATATGCCGTAATCAGACGATTTATTAATCGGATACATAAAATTTTCTCCATTGGCAGCGTTGAAGGAGGTTTTGGAGCTGCTTTTCTGTTTCGCCTTATCTGATTGGCTAATTATAATACAGTTTAAATATCTAACCAATCAGATAAGGCGAAACAGAAAAGCAGCTCCAAAACCTCCTTCAACGCTGCCAATGGAGAAAATTTTATGTATCCGATTAATAAATCGTCTGATTACGGCATATCAAACGCTAATAGCGGGGTTTAGGTTAAAGAGACTAATCAAAGAACATCTCCCAGACAGAGTGATTGCAAAATTATGATAGGTAACATTAATTATTACCTTGGTAATCTGTCTCGAAGTAGGGGGTTCCCCTTTTGTTTACAACTTTTGTTTCTTACCTTGTGTATTTTTATTATACCGAATAAGGCCATTCTTTAAACGTGAGAAAAAGTACAATCTGCTTGCATATAACGACATATAGATGTGTTTGACGGGGAAATTTGATATTTTTGAGATATTATACACTCTTACATTTTTTTTCATAAAAAGGGGGGGTATTATCCATACTTCAGGTGCCTGTGCTGCAATCTGATTGGCTTATGCTTTAAATAGCTATAACTCCCTTGGTTTGCAACCAAACAGGATGGGATTTGGAACATGGATAGATATAGTAGACTTTTACAAGAAGATACGGTCACCATGCATATGCACACACATGCATGTACGTGCGCTGCAATCTGATTGGCTGAAACTTTGAACAGCTATAACTCCCTTGGTTTTCAACCAAATGGGGTGGGATTTAGAACATAGATAGCTGTAATGGACTTCTACAAGAAAGTATGGTCGCCATGCTCATGTGAGCACATGCGTGCACGTAAAATGAGTAAAATCAAAATTACACTTAAATTAGCGTATTTTTTAATACTTTTGGATTAAATACTTTGATATTTAGTATATTAAAATCTATAGATTGTGAAGACAAGATTATATGGTCATTACACACGTGCATTCACATGCGCACGCGTGCAATGCTAAAATTTGAATGAAATTGGTATACTTCTGGGTAAACGATGTTAAACTCTCAAATGCATAAGGTTTGTCTTATTTAATGAAGCTTTTAGGGAATATGGCACCAAAAGGAAGTTGGGGAGCATTTGGGGAACATCTGTAACGGTCCCCGTTACAATTAGCACTAGTTGTGATCTTGAACTTGCCAAAAGACCTAAATTAAAATAAATACAGATCTTTTTTGGTCATACATAAGCTTTCAGTGAAATAGGGACATCCAATGATTCTCCATTAAAAAATTATGGACCTGACATTAAATTTTTTGATAGTTACTTTGAATTTACAACAATGATTCTGGGTCAGTATTTTGGCATATCGTCAGCTCACAAATTATCTTTGCTTGAAGGTTCAACTTCCAATACCTACTGAAAAGCCATAAACTAGGCACAAATTTTAACAATTTTCTATCAATGATCTTGAATTTGAAGGAATAACCTTGTGTTAAGGGCATGACGCATATTAAAGACATGTTATTGTACAAAGTTTGAACTTCTATACATCTTATTTATTAGAGAGTAAAACACCAGACACACGTTTTTTTTTTCTTCTACTTTTCTGCCTTTGAGCTTGATCTTGCTAGAATGACCTAAAATGGATCAGATAATTCCTCAGGTCTTAAGAAACCTTTGTTCAAAGTTCTAGATTTTATTTTTCCACAATTATAAAGTTATAATCTGGGCATGATTGCAAGTACAGCTGTTAGACAGACAGATGGACAAGGTAATTCTGTAATGTATACCTCTCAAGCTTCTTTTGCAGGGGTTATAAAAAGCTATGATGCTGTCAATTTGATTACCGGTATTCAAGTCCTAAATACAGAAGGCTTCATTCTGTCAACATGTTTAAGCATAGAAAATTTTAGCTGCAGATCTGTAGCTCTTTGAAAAAAAATTATTGATAGACTAGAGAGCTACAGAGCCACCCATTGAAAAAACTGTCTATTTATTGCGCACAAAAAAAGGCGCTCGGTTCTCTATTTATTTCTCCATGTTTTTAAAGCTGTAATCTCAATATATTACTAACCGTGTGTTCCTAACATATTCTTTGACTCTTTCCACAACAAAACATTCCTCATAATTGTTGTTAATAGTCCTCTTGGCCCTGATATCACAATCATCGGACATTTTGCTTATTTATACTGCCATTTTGGTTTCCAAGATAATTCGGTCCAATACACTTTGTTCAGATGTCAACTACGAGAGAACTTGATAGAGGGGAGAGTAATTTTTTAAATCTTCCATTTTTTGCAATTGAGGTAAGAATTTGGAAAAATTAATCAAGAATCGAGCGCACTTTTTTGTGCGCAATAAATATACAGTTTTTTCAATGGGTGGCACTGTAGCTCTTCGATCTATCAATATATATTTTTTTGGAGAGCTACAGATCTGCAGCTAAGAAAATTTTAAATACATTCTGTAAAAAACCCCCTGAATTTTACCCTTTGCTCCGCTTAATCCCTCTAGATGCTGGCACACTTTTCTCTGATGACTTGAATGGAAAAATGTTTTTTATAATGTTTAAGGTGCCAAACTTTCTCTTCTCTTTTGATGGCCCTTGGAGCTTACTTCCATCTGTGTTCCTGTTGCTTTCCAATGGTAGACCTTTTGATAGTTCTTCTTTTTGTAAGTCACCCTGGTTGTCAGTATCTTCTGGATTTTTAATTTCCTCAATGTCCTCCCAGTCCTCTTCTAACTCAAGGACCTCATTATCTTCCCTCCCACTTTCTTCACCTTCAGAGGATTCTGACATATGCATCTCCTCTTCTAATTTTTTCATTTCATCACTGCTTTCTTTAGCCATTGTTCCCTGAAATATACATCAATTAAATGACTTTAAGAAATCATAATAAGCTTAAAGATATTTAAAACCTACCAAAAACTGATCATTCCTTCATAGAGTTGGGTATTGCGAAGGAAATCCATATTGCGATATATTGCAATATTTTACTTTGAATATTGCAATATATTGTAGATTAATTATCATTAATAAATTTGAGCAGAATGTTTGAAATGCTGTCAAGTTCAAAGACTACTTGAATTTATCTTTAAGTTAAAAGCGGGTGGAGGGATAAGACATTGATTGCACACCAAATTAACACTTTATTTTTAATCAAATTCCAGGTAAAATAGTAAAACAAGATGAACTCTCTTGGAGAATTTTCACATTGAAATAAAAATTATTCAGATTATATAATCTTTTTTCATTGAATTCTTTTTTTTTTGGGGGGGGGGGGTGTTAATGAAGTAGCATAAAATGTTATTAAAGATTAAAACAATATACATATTAGGCCTATATGAAAATAATTTTATTGTGGTTACAAAATAAGATTTAAAAAACCAGAAAGAAATTGTGACCTGTTTTCATGCGTTTTGGTAATTTAGTCTAACCGGTTTACAGTCAACTCGTACACAAACCGTCTCGTACACAAACCGAGTCGTACACAGAAAGTCAGCTCGTACACAAATCAAAAGTCAACTCGTACACAAATCAAAAGTCAACTCGTACACAAATCAAAAGTCAACTCGTACACAAACTGATGTCATTTGTACATAGTTCCCTATGTGATTTAATGTATAGTTTTTCTCAGTGTTAAAAAATTGAGGAGTCAACTTGTACATAAAGGTTTTTTTTTTTTGTACATTTTAATCTTTTTATGCCGCTAAATTTACCTATACCTTATGCGCAGATTGGGTTTTTTTTATTTTAAGGTTTTTTGCGACGTAAATCTTGGGCGTCAACTCCTACACATTTTTCGTTATTTAAATATTATATAAATATAGCCCTTTGATGAGGTCAATCCATAGATATATCGACTTCACAGAAAAGCATATCGACCGAGCACGAAGTGCGAGGTCGATATGCTTTTCTGTGAAGTCGATATATCTATGGATTGACCGAATTAAAGGGCTACATTTGTTATATTATTTTTTACATAGATTGACAAAACAAATTATGAAAATAATGGGAAAAGTTTTCTCCCTTTAACAATTAGAGACTAGAGATAAAAAAAAATTACACCGTTTAATGTAAATGCGTTTCCTTTATATTGATGGAGTGATTTAGACGATTTACTTATTCAGAATACTTCATTTATTTGATTAAGTTTTGTATCAATATTTGACACACATATCGAATATGTTTTAATTAATATGAAGTTATCCTAATCCAATGCCTTCTTTTGTCTCATCAAATACAGAACATTGAAAAAAAGTTAGTAAAAGTTGAAATAATTTTTTCTTTCTAGAACATGTAGAAACATTAAATCATACACTGTATTAGCTTTGATTGAATACAGTACTTTTTTGTTTCACGGAAATTACCTCCATTTTAAGACACCTCAAGTCGATATGCATTTCAGATTCTATAAATAGTAACTCAAGTCTTTATGCTGTTATATACTAAATCATGTGATCAAGTTTGAGCCAATCAGAGAGCTGGGAATAAATGATAAAAATAATATACATTTATAACTTAATTTAGATAAGAAATTTAGAAATTTTATGGCACCATAACGTATACCATTATTCAATGTAGACAGTAAATACGATCGAAATACATCGTAAGATTTTTATGCCAATATGCTATATCATATCATTGCATACAATTTTAAAAAAAAAACTTATCAAATTAAAAAAAAAAAAAAAAGCTTTTTTTTTTTTTACTAGAGACAGTTTTACGACAGGATAAACACTTCTCTCACACCATGGGGAAGATAAAGAAATGAAGAAATTGGGACCAAATTAGGAGCATTTCGTAATTAGCGTTTGTCGCAAATCAAAGAAACCGCCGCGCTTGTGTTAGTTTAACAATAATTGTTTATACACATTATTCCCAGTATGAGAAGCCACGGTCGATTTCAAATGTTATAAAACCACAAAGGTATTCGTGAAAAAATCTAAAAATTTAACACTTCTCCTTGTTCTTATTTCAGTTTTTCTAGATTATACATTATTTATATAAAAGTAATTCCTAACTATTGTAAATAAAACGTTGTGTACGAGTTGACTTCTGATTTGTGTACGAGCTGACTTCTGATTTGTGTACGAGTTGACTTTTTGTGTACGACTCGGTTTGTGTACGAGACGGCTTCGTACACAAACCAAGTCGTACACAAACCAACTCGTATACAAAAAGTCAACTCGTACACAAAAACCAGAAGTCAACTCGTACACAACATTTATATTACAATCGTTATGATTTAATTTTATACAAATAATGTTGATAACACAAAGTGTTACTTTTCTTTAAGTTTCTTCCCTAAATATTTAAATAATTCAACTTCCCTGATAGGAACATCAAAGAAGTATTGTTAAACCAACACACACGCGGTGGTTTCTTGAATCTGCGACAAACGATAATTATGATATGCTTATAATTCGGTATCCTTTAATTATGAGATACTATATTTATCGAAAACGTCTCCAAGTTTCTTCATTCCTTATACTTCACCATGTTTAGAGAGATTTGTCTTTCCTGCAGCAAGACGGTAAGTTTCTAAAACTTTTTTATCTAAATATTTTTAAAGTTTAGATAAGTGTAAGAAAAATGTGTTATACAGTATACCATTAAATTCTTACCATGTATTTAGATCGCATTTACTATATACACTATATCTAATTAACATATTAGGATGCTACAAAATATTATATTCTACATCAACATGCATTACTTGCATAACAGAAAACTTTTTAGAAATATAAAATCTACGTATAACAATTTTGTTGACAGATATCCATTTCAATTGAGTTTTTCAACTACATATTAAACAAATAAAATATTTAAATTTGCAATATAAGAATTATTTAAGATAATTACCTTTATTTAATAATTAAGAATGAATTTGACAATCTTGATTTAGTTAACTCAAAACACATTTGTGTACGAGTTGACTTATTTGGAAACTGTGGCAAATATTACTCTAAATCACATAGGGAAACCTATGTCTGAGTTGTGTACGAGTTGACTTCTGGTTTGTGTACGAGTTGAATTTTTTGTGTGTACAAGTTGACCTTTTGTATACGAGTTGGTTTGTGTACAACTCGGTTTGTGTACGAAGTGACTGTAAACCGTTGACTGGACACCCTCTAACCCGACCTAATTTCACATCAAGACGTACAACAAGGTTAGCTTTTTTAAAAAAGCTGAGTGTCAGCCACTGGAATACAGAAAGTTTCTTTCTTGTTTTGTAATGGTTTATGATTTGATCTATCCATCATGTTGTGTTCCTTAATGTAATAAATGCCATTGTAAGAAAAGTTAAATTATTGTAATCGTTTTCTTATTTGTAACACAATGCCACATACATAATAATTAATAAGGGATAGAATATTTTTTTTAATTCTGCATCGTGACCATTACAATGATCTCCAATAAATTCTCTTCGGCGGAGACATCAGAGAAAGTTCATCTTATACAGGTAAATGAACAAAAGCCACCATTGCAACTAAGATCACGTTAAATTCTATAAAAATGATATAGATTATGATGAATAAAAGGAAGGTAGACTTTGTGTTAGATCGTTTTTAAATATTATTAAATAACAGTTTTCATTTGTGTGCATTTCTAGGCAATGCCTGAAGGGGGGGGGGGGGGCATACTGCATCTATATTTAATTTAATTTGTAAGTTTGAGCATCCATTTTAGTGTTATTAAGAAAGAAAAGAATTGCTTCCAAACAAGTAATGACGCCACAGAAAACAATTTTAAATGGAAATTCTAAATATGTTTATACATGCAGTACGTATACATGTACATGTACACAAAATGTCTTTAATGATGTCTACCATCATAGCAAAACTATAGATTAAAAAACTGGAATCCATCCCCCTCTCTCCTTTCATTGGGGGGGGGGGGTGTTGACCCTGTCTATAAATCAGCACAGTTCCCTCAGCTATCGCATTTCCACTGTGGTCTCACATGTGGGCGCGGTTCACGTGTGCACAAGCGGCACTTACACGTCTATCATCATGTAAATTATAAGAATTTTCTGTCTTACAGTGGTCTATTTTTTTTTTTCACTCTAATCAAAGAGCTGATGTTTTCATAACTTCCATCATTAGAGTGAAGAGAAATTGAGCTTTTTTTCACTATTTTGGGACTTTTGTGGCAAGTGGATTGTTGTGTGAATTCCGACCCGTACATGTCTTATGCAAGGTATTGAATACTGATCGAGGGAGTCTTGCATCAGGCATCCAGTGGAATACACAATTTAAATCTTCGGCTTGCGATTTAGGGAATTAATGTACTTATTATCTATTAGAAGCAAAGAAATATTTTCATAGTATCATTTAAAAACTGACAAATATCCCATCTAGAAGCTGAATAGTCTATGTCATAAATTTTCATCGAGAACGACGAAGAACAATGCAGTCTATCAATAGATCGAGGTCATGTGTGCGTGTAGAAGCACGCCCTCTGGTTGGAGAAAATTGTGCAAATCTTTTTCCCAGAATTCCGATTAACGCAAGCGCACTTGCAGTTTCATCCTAACGTAACTAGTCAGCCCGGGGGCTGACTAATCAGGAAATGGCCTGTTTTAATATATACATGCTCCTGCTATAGCATAAGGTGTTTAAAATGGCATGAAAGTTATTAAAAATAATTAAAACAACACTGCTACAAGTGAAAACATGGATGACCATTTACTTTTAATATGTACATGTATATTGAACTTGACATTTCACCGCGATGTCGATCGTGTAGATTCAATGTGAGATTTTGAGAACCGCAATGCATATGGTATACACCCTGTAAAAATGTTTTATATATTTTCTTCCTTATAAATTTTATTTTAAAGTCTTATTAATTAGTAATTTTATTTCAAAGTAAGATATTCAAAACTGCAACAGTGAATTAAAAGCTTCCACCCCCTCTCTCTCCTCTCTCTTTCTCTCTCCCGAACGAACTTTCAACAAGAAAGAAAAAGACTTAGAAGTTTCCAGTTTTATTTTAACAGTTTCTACAATAAAGGAGGTTTTTATATATTTTTATAAATATCGTGAAATACCGGTATCTGATTTTCATATCGCGATATATTATCGTGGTGGATAATACCGCAATATACCGATATACCGGTAATATTGCACACCCCTATTCATTCATATAGGTAAAATATCTGTCGATATCTCATTTTGTTGGGTTTTGAAGAAAAATCTGCATAAATTAGTGAAAAAAATCTTATGTTGAAGTAAAATTTGAGGAAATGTGATTAAAAAACATATATTGTGAATTTTTTATTAGATGTAAACTAAAAGAATTTTCAACAGGTCTAGTACAATCACTAGATTTAGCTACGTACCTTGATTTACCTACTTAGCTTGATTTACCTACCTGAGGTAGCTTTATTTAGCTACCAAATCAATTTATTTCTATAAAAAAGCATTTTTCTAGGGGTGTGCAGAAAATCTCATTTTGATGCAGTGATCATTTTCAACTTTGAACTCATCTGAAAACAATTAATGAAAAAATCACTCTTGAAGAAATGTCTTTTTCTGCGCAATTGCAATCAAACTTTTGAAAGTTTTGGGGCTATGTAGAACAGTTAATAGAACAGTTAATCCTTGAATGAAATGACAAAGAAGTCCAGTTCCAGTTAACATGATAATAGGTCAGTAATTATCCAGCACAATGTGAAGTAATCATACTCAGCCATGCCTCACCACACGCAAGAGAGGACAGTTAACCAAACAATGGAATCACATGTTTTGCACTAAATTGTCCAAACGCAGCTTTGGATTGTTTTTTAAACCTCCCTAGTATAAATAATATGTTTTACGGTGTGACCGTTGGGGCGAGCGCAGTTGTACCATCAAAAGCACTTGAAAAATTGATCAGCCACTTCAAGCATCAAGCCGCGCAAGACATCTCGACCACTTGTGATGTCATACGACATCACGGAGCTCTTCGCAGCATACGGAGACAGCCGACCTTCTGTTTGAAACTATAGACCTAGTGCAAATTGGGTAAAAAAAACATTACAGAGTTATTTTTTGTTTCTTTGAAAGATTTCTACAAACTGCATACAGACCCTTTGTTCTTTACGTTATTACTGATTTATTTATTTATTCGAGAAAAGGACATTGGGTAGTAAAGGAAATCTGGAAATGTTTCACAGAAAAATTTGCCTGACGTATGAACAGATTTCAATCCGAATTTCCTCTGTTCCTACACGTTAGTCTATTGAGCTCGCATCGCGAGCGCTCGCTATTAATATTCATTTAATTGCGATTTTTTGTCTCTTTTTAATAAAAAGAAAAATTTTGAAAAGTTGCATTGATATAGCTAAATAAAGCTACCTGAGGTAGGTTAATAGCGAGCGCAGCAAGTGTTGCGAGCTCAATACACTAACGTGTACGAACAGAGGAAATTCGGGTTGATATCTGCACATTGTTCCAAGAAATTTTTATCTCACCATGTGAAAAAATTCCAAACTCCCAATAATCCTTTGCGGTGCATAGCAACATGGTGGCTAAAACATAGCAACGATTTACTTGAAAAAAATTACAAACAATGATTTAATGCAATCTCCATACCACAAAAGTATCGTTTGCGTCCTATGCCAACAGGACTTTTTTATCTGACATCATATTTTCGTCACTTTAACAGTTCGGGTATTTTTCGATTTTGTCGGAAACTTTCCGAGAAGTTTGGAATCTCGATCCTGATGCTTGGGAAGTGATTTCTTTTAATTGTTTTGTTTTCTTCTTTCTTCTTTCTTTTTCTTGAATGATAGGCAGTACATGTGTAGGTTTATGATTGTACAGTAACTGCGCTCGCCCCAACGGTCACACCATAAAACATATAAAAGCTACGCAGGTAATTCTACCTGCGTAGCTAAATCTAGTGATTGTAGTGAACCTGTTCAACAAGTGAATATGTAAATATACCAAGTGTGGACGCCGGACGGTAGATGACAAGATGCAGAGTTATTTTATAGATGAATCCAGTGCATCAGACACCTTTTAAGGAACCTGCATACCTTTTCTTTCACATATTCAATAGGTATTCATGTTTATAACCCAATGCCTAAGACAAGGACCTGTGATCACATCCTAAGCCATTCTTACCTTTTTTGAAAGAGTTCTTTTCACAAATTTGAAATATTTTCTGTCGGTTACATCTTATGAAACCAAACCAGCATAACTGTCATTTGAATGAAAGGTGTACAAAGTCATATTTCCGATAAAACGGATAAAGTAGCAATTGTTATTATTCCAACAACCGCCATTTTCACACCGGATAATAATAGAGAGCTATAGTACTTAAAATTAAACCGTGTCAAATCCGTATAAAATGTGTAGAATGGTTATGGGTTTTCAGAAGACTTAAATTTTAATTATTAAATACGTATATACTTAAACTATGTTTTGAATCCTCCAAATTATTTTTATATATTCAAGCGTAATTATAGTTGGAAATATCGAAACCCCTTTAGCTCGAAATTTTCAGGATTGCATTGTCTAAAATTTTGTCAACCCGACATGTCCTCCACCACAGAATGGCAGAATAAATAAAAACATTAGAAATATGGTCGGGGGACTGGGGCTTACAACTTTGATTGATTATAAATGTTTAGCTGTCAATAATACCCAAAAAATGGAATAGTTATTTTGTTTTTCTTAATTGGATGTCAAATATTTATGAAATATATGTATTTTGAAATAATAAGGTTTTTTGACAGCTGCAGTGCCTGTGCATGTACAATGACTGCATTTAACTTTGCAGCTAGAAAACAAACCTAAGTAAACAGCTTTATTAGCTACTTGAAAATGTGTGAAAGTTATTTTAATTCAAGCTTTGAACAAGTTTGCTTATTAAAATAATTGCCAGATAAAACGATGTAAAGCCCACAGGCCTATTTTTAATCATTATTTTACCAAATTCTCTCCCTGTGTGAGCATGTAGCTAATTTTTAAATTTAAAAGGAATGTGTTGTATATATATATACAAACAAATAAAACCCAGGTGATGAAAATTAACAATTCTGTAACCATGACAGTGATACTCATATGGGTTCAATCTCCCTTGGCCAGCTAGCTCTGTTGGTAGAGCACCTGAATTTCTTTATTCAGGCAATGTATTTGGCTATGGTCTAAGTCCCATTTTTTCCTCTCCTGTTAGAGATTTTGTGCTGTTCACTCTCCCTTGGACTTGCAGGTGAAGCCAATAGTGTCCTTGGGTTAAGACCTTTAAATAGCAAGGAGTGTGGCTTTCAATTGGGGTTGATTGCATGTGGCCATTTAGCTCAGTTGGTAATCTTAGATTTTTCTTGGTCTAACCCCTGCTTTTTAAATTGTGACGTGCAGGAAAACATAGCGAAAAACCATATTGAAAAGTGTCATTTTCAATGAAAAATGTTTAAATGCTATTGCCATTGAAACAGACAAATGAGGCATATCACACAAACAAAATGTATCCAGAGTTGCCTACAGTCTTTCAGAAAAGTCATTTAAATGGCGATAACATCCTTTATATGATGATTAATTTGATATAGGAATCACCCATTTACTGATTTCAAATTGATGTATGAAGAAGTTATTTTCAACATAATTCTATTAAAGCGGTAAAGTATGGGAAAAAGAAAGTTGAAAGTGATTAATTAGGTTTAGTTGTAATGGGAATGCCTCCGAATGGTGAAAACTCTCACCTGACTTAATAATAAATTTCCATATTTTTAGGTATATAAAGCTATGTAGAAATTAATGTAACAGTAACACAAAGTGTAAATGTTGGATTATACCGATATATATTTTCATTCATATTTCAAAGATATAGGTGTTTTTTTTTACAGGCATACTGCAAGTTTTCAGGAATACCAGTAAAAGTTATACCAAGAAGTAATCCATTGAGATCACCATCTGGTATAAAAGTTTAAGATCATTGGCCATCATTTAAGCAAATTGTTGTAATTTGCCTTTCATGTATTTGTTGAAATTATTTTCATTCTTAACCTATAGGATGATTAATTTGAAAGTGGTATTTGATAACACAGTTACACTGAAAATCAATAATTTTAATGTTGAAATCTTAATGTAAATTTTTGCATTGTTTATTTCACTTAAATAAAGTCCTTTTGAAATTTCTGCCTTACCCTTGCTTTAAATGTTTGATATTTTGTTTACAGCATTTAAAATATTAGGATTTCTTTTTTTATAATTTTTTTTTGCAGAAGAAAAGAATAAAGCCTGTTTTCAAGAAAAAAGGAGACACAGGAAAAGAAACAGTTATAAGCATTTACAATTACTTAAAAGAAAGGTATTTAAATATTTTACAATAATAAACATTATGTATACTATTTAAATACTGTAATGGAAGGAATATTAATGTTAATATCAACTTATGATGCATATAATTTCTGAAACAATTTATTCTGTTAAGATCACAGATAATTGTACTAGCTGTGGATATTAACATATTCTGAGAGAAAAATTAATACAAAGGAACAGTTTATGTTAGTGTATTCTTATCCTTAAAAGTTTGTTGGTGTGAGCTGTAAGAATAATCTAATTGTAAAACAACAAAAAAAAAATATTAGTGGTACAGCTCATGACCTCAAGTACTACCTTGCAAACTATACAGCTTTACTACCGGTACATATTTTTACAGAAAATTTAGAAGAAGGTACTGTTCAACCAACTAGAAAAGAACTAAAAGAAGAAATGAAATCTAAACTGGAAACAGCCATGTTGTGTGGTCAGAGGATTTGTATTGATCTCAGTATGGAGAACACAATGACATTAAAGGTGACAGTAATGTAACTTATTCAACTTACCAGAAATAAAAAAAAAAATAAAAATAGAATTAGCAAATGAAACAATTTAATAACATTTAATAGAGTCAAGTATATTTCACAAATAACAAGGTACAGTTTCACAAAATAACATTTTTTTTTTGTTACATGTATGGAAATTAAAATTTTCCTATAGCAAGGAAATTCTCAGAATTCCCTGCAGTAAGAATACACAAATTATTTTTCTCATATGTCCTCCTGAATGCTAATTGTGATGTCATTAAATTGTGCATTTTCCCATATATTCTTAAAAAGTTGCAGAAGACATCAATTTTCAGTGGAGTTTTCTTTCAGAAAAGATACTCTGCCACTCTCGCCCAGAAAGATTTTGAGATATGTGATTTTTCATAGCAGTTTACATAATATGTCCAAAAATTAAAGAGTCTGTGTACACACCATTTTCAAAGGAAAATCTGCACAGAAATGAGATTTTGACAAACTGGTACAAGTCACCAAATTAATGATTCATATATCCAGAACGTTTTATTCCAATTATTTCATGTCATATTGTTAAAAATGATCTATCATATTCATCTGCTAAACATTGTGAAAGCCATTTTCACAAGATTTCTTAAACATTACATTTTAAGGGCACAATAAATATTTTTCATTTTATACATGATATATAATTGGCTAAAGATATTGGAATCATGCAATTGACTTTTTCCAAAATCAATGTTAATCATAAAAATGTGAGTTTGTTTCATGTCAGCATTTGTATTTTTCAAGTATTGTATCTAAAAAGATACATCAGAGTTGGTTTTGAGCTTTATAACACAAGGTTGAAATGAAATTTTAACTTTTTTTTGTCTGACTTACTTCGAGAAGCAAACTCATAAAGTGAATCAAAATGTTTAAAAAGGTCATTTGTAGTTGATCTTGACCTCTTATTGTTTTTAATGATGACCTAATATAATCATTATGTAGGTCTTTGCTTCATCCTTAAATTTGTAAATCTACATGTGTACATACAATATTTAAATAAGTGGTTTTTTGACTTTGACCTTAACCTTAAATATGCAGGAACATGCTTCTGTATCAATGTCTTGTATAATGTGTAGGTAATTTAGAACTGAACACAACATTTACAAGCTTTCCTTTTATTGAAATACTTTGCAATCTTCACCAATCTTCAGCTTCATCAATTCTTTATTTTGAAATACTGAAAAGTCTCCCAATTATTACTATACCTTGAAAAACTGGAGTGAAGAATATTTCAATTCTTTTACAGGAAAAGAGCAAATTAAGCCAACAGCTGTGCAGAGTATATGGGATAAACAGAAGAGCAGAGCTTCCAGCCCATCTTTATTTTGCTGGATTTGATAAAAATGGAGACTTGTATAAAGAATGTCTTCATAAAATTGATGGATTTGAGAAATTTATGGTATGAAGTTAACTTTTAACATATAAATAATACAAAAATTCATTTTTTTTAAATTTGGGGGCAGGGAGGGGTGTATTTCAAAGATAAGTCTGTTGACTCACAAAAAAATTGTTGGTAAACCTATGATCTTAAAGCTCCACACCTTCCTTCAAGATTCTCAACAGATTTATTATAGTTTTAGTATACATAGCATCACTTTTAAATTTGTAATCTTAGATCTTGGATTTAATGTTTTTTGATTCGTTTGTTCTTTTGTATGGAGCAGTTTACGGACGTTATCATCATAAAGCTACAACAGAGCTGATTACAGTTTGTTTGTCATCTTTGTATTCCCATTGACTTTTCAGATTTTCGATTTC